CCACAGGCACTCATGTGTACATATAAATTTTAGTTTTTTCGAGTGCATGCTGCGACTTAATTCAAGAATCTAACGTAAAAATTATGTACAGTTACGTTCTTGCAAACTTGAGCTTTTTGTGAACACACATTCGATTAGTAGAAAGTGAATGTGGATGATAATTTAACAATTTCAGATCGAATGTTCTCCATGATCATTTTATGCTCACGTATGATATGCAAGCAGAACGTGTGCTATCACTTACCGTTAATACTTATTGACCTACTCGATCATATACTTGCCGAGCCATGCATTCGTTTGCAGCCATGCTAAAAACGTCCCAGAACCTGTAGCGTCTTTTTTTTTGTTATTGTAATCGATGTTCGATAGCTCAGAAAGAGATAGCTGATCAATATAGCAGTCATTATATCGTCTACTGCTAACACTGATACAGATTACCCCCGGAACTAAGTCATACATGCTGCTCCTTCCGTAACGAGGGTCTGCTACTCATTGTTCATGAATAGCAGATGGAAGGAGAGCAAGTTTTATATTTATTTGGCACGCTTACTTTTGCGATGAGTTGGTTCACTATTATGTTGATCATTGTGACTTTCTTCACCACGGAGTGTTTCAACTTCGTTAATGATCTCTCGCATGAGAATTGACTGATGGGACGTAAGGGGTAAGGGCTTGTCGGGATGCTCGCCAGCGTAATAGATAATTACCAAGCGTGGGTCTGGGATAATCACATAGTAAACACGATTAAATTTGGGAAGTCGATATTCAAACGCATCAATATATTTCATTGGAAATACTATAGATTTCATTGGTAGATAAGGCGTTGTTGATAGATGATTCATCATATAGTGATACACATCTGGCATCGCAAATGCAAGCGTCTTCAACGCTTGTTTAATCTTGTCCGTCAGTGAACGAACTAGCCATTTCAGTTCGGCTTGATCTTTTAGACGACCATCTACAATATTCATATAGTAATTGCAAACGAATAACAGTTTACCAACTTGACTTACTTTTCAAACGAGATTTGTTACTTGTGGAGTGCATTAGTTAAAATCATCTTGCAACTAGCGTCCTTATATAGTAGAGCATGATTCATAGTTTATTTCGTCAACAAAACTTCCATCGAGATGATTCGATCAGCTTCTAGAAGGTAGTAGAATAGAAAGGAATATTTACTTTCTGACTGTCACAACTTGATGGAAGAAAAAAGGATTTTTTTTCCAACATATCCACTTTATTTTTCATTTTTTTACCGATATTATCAGGTTTCTTGTACGTCAGCCTGTCGCCCACAGAAACAAAACAAGAAGACCAACGGGAAAAAACGACAATAGAAAAATTTTTCTTGCTGTAAATGTTTTTTGACTCTGCTTTAAAACAAATGCATCAAAAGTGTGGGTGTGGGTGTGAGTGTGGATGCAGTCTGTGTGTAAGTGAGGGTAAGAGCGAAAGAAATATTCACCCCCAAACCGACACCCGCACCCCCGCACCCACATCCCAAACCCACACTAGTACCCACACCTGCACCCTCACACCACCCACACACACCCACACTCCACGATGGTCACCCTTCTTTTTAAAATAGGCTTTTTATTATCATATAAGAAAACGCCTCTATAGAAACAGGACTATTCTTTTAGGAGTTCTGTGAGTCATTGAATTTGTCATCCCTTTTTTCGCTTAAAAAGTAAGAATTTTAAAAGAATGACGACCATAGTCTCTAGCCCCAGACACGAGCTTTCAAACAATAAAAATTTAAATGTATGCAATGAAGGTTCACAGAGAAATTATAGAGATATCGATAAGCTATTTTTGATCCTGGTTTGGTAAATATCTCCGCCAAACGTCAGAATATAGAGCTGAAAATTTTACTATAATCATGGTTCATCAGCCCCAACATATCTTGAAAGTTTCATGCAATTCGGATGTTCCTGATCTAAGATCGAATTTTGAGAGAGGCGTAATACATTCTTATTCACCCATAGTTATCAACTCTGTAGAAGTATAAAAAAAGACATTGACAAAAAGCTCTGGATGGGATACAATAATATTGAAAGAGAGAAAGAAAAAAAAATGAAAAGCACAAGCTGATGTTTTTTTAACACGCCTTTGTTTATACATTCTATCTTCGCATTGTCGCGTATCGTATAGAGACGAACGGAAGAAAAAACTAAAGGTATCGATAACAAAAATACATTAATGTGTGTTTTTGTTTCATTTGTTTGTTCGTTGTTACTGCATTTTTTTGTTGATTTTTCTTGGTTGTCATATTTGCACTTTCAGAAGAAACTCAGCAGAACCATAATGCAATCAAAGTTACGAACAATTTTTTATTCGCGGAACAAACGTAAAAAAATTTGAAATTATGAGTATTGTAAAAAAAATACAAACGAGGCTTTTCATTATTTATCAACTGTATGTAAATATATATGACTTCTGTCCACGTGCGCCTGAGCTCAAATCGTTAATTGATGAGTTTTACAATTAGTGATTTGCGCTAATAATATTTATTGCTTCCAATGTATCAATGGTTCGAGATTAGTTTCTATTGAAAATATGTTATCTAATTTTTCTTTTCGATTAATATTGATTTATGCTATAGTGCACAATACAATTCAGCGAATTCTGAGTGTCACAAAACAAAATAAGAATTCTATTTCTCCATGAATCAAAATTAACCCTTTCAGAACGGTGGTACAAGGGTTGTACCACCTATTTTCGTGGTGGGAAAAATATTTCATTTACACTTACGTATTAAAATTTCTTATACATAGACGTCATGGAGTGCTCCAATTGTCATATTATACATATCTTTTTTTTGACGCGTATATATTCTTCTCAGGCATTCGCTTTTCTTTCTGCGATTGTACGATGACATTATGCTTTTCTTCTGTTCCTCAGACATGTTGTTTTATGAGAATGTTCGAGGAGATTCTTACTCTCTATTGCTCTTGTATAGATATAGCTGTTCTTGAAAAGAAATTAAATTACTTTTATGTGTCCTTTGTCTATTCTGTTGAATTATTAGGTTTCGGTAACTAAGTCTCTCTGTTCGGGTGCTGAGCGAATATATCTTGCAAGGCCTCTTTCAGACAAGAAGGGTGGATTAGCATCGCCACAATCTGCTGTTCAGTTGGACGGTGAAATGCATTTGGCTGTCAATGGAACATGAAGGGAATGTGCTTATTTTAGCACAAAAGAAGTGTAATTTCGATCAAACATCGAATGCTCTACTTGCAAACTGGCTTTTTGTGTAACAGACGAGAAAAATTGGTTCTTTTTATCAGTTTATTGAATATGAGCGTGGGTGTGGGTGTGGAGTGTGGAGACCAGTATCTTCCTTACACTTACACCCACACCCTCGCTGCTACATCACCAACGGAAACAATATTGCACTTCGTGGTAATGTATCGTGTTCGTACTAGCTTCTCGTCGATTTTTCTGTTCAACCATACCCGCACCTACACTCACATCCAGTTTGATATGTTGCTGTACTAAAGACCCAAACTGACTTTATTTGTACAGGACTGATACAAAAATCGTTCTAAGACACAATAAAAATAACTAAATTGATGCTCTTGCATTCTTTTGCATAAGGCGTGATCTCAAAGATAGACAATGTCGCCTCTTTTTTAACAATTTCATCGCACCTGTATGTAACTGCGAATAAGTACAGCACATTGATCGTATTGACCAATCTGGTGTATCTGATACCAACCAATCATAAACGGTTACATCTTGAGATTGTGGAGTATGTGTATGAAATTTGAGTGTCAGTGTAGGTGTCGGCACCATACACTCAAAGTCTACATGAAGTTTCAGAGTTTAAGGAATTCATAAATAACAAGTAATGTTCATCGACATGGAATGTCGATTCACTGGGCCCTAGACTGACGGAATTATGACAAGCAGATGGTTGTATTTTTACCGTAATTTGTGCCATGTAAATAGTAATTTGTACCATAACAATGGTCGTTTCTGCCATAGAAATGATCATTTATGCCATAGGAATAGCCATTTGTGCCATAAAAATGGTCGTTTGTGCCATAGAAATGGCCGTTTGTGCCATAAAAATGGTCATTTGTGCCATACAAATGATCATTTGTGCCATAGAAATGGTCATTTGTGCCATAAAAATGGTCATTTGTGCCATAGAAATGTCGATTTACGCCATAAAAATGGTCATTGGTGCCATGGAAATGGCCATTTATGCCATAAAAATGGTCATTGATGGCATGGAAATGGTCATTTATGCCATAAAAATGGTTATTGGTGCCATAAAAATGGTCGTTGGTGCCATAACAATAGTCATTTGTGGCATAGAAATGGCCATTTGTGCCATAAAAATGGTCATTTGCGCCATAAAAATGGTCATTT